GGATGATAGAGTATGCAGAGGGGAGGAGGGTGTAAGAAAAGGTAGTGATGGGTCAGGTTGTGAATGGATTTAAAATGAAAACAGAGGATTTTACATTTGATCTGGAGTTTTGAGTTGGAGGTGGGGGTTGGAGTGACATGCTTGGAAGATCACGTTGGCAACTGAGAGGAAAAGGGACTGGAGTGGGAAGAAGACCAATTGGGGAAACCAACCAGAAGGCTATTGCAATGGTCCCAGACATGAAGTAATAAGGGCCTGTACCAGGATGGCAGATTTCTGAGTAGAAAAGAGGGCACATGGGAGAGATATCTTGAAGATGTGAAGGGCAGAATTTGGCAACAGATTGGATCTGTGGGATAAGTGCGTGTCAATATTCTGTAGGGAGAGGTACTTTCAAAAGTCCTAGGCAAAGGCTTACCACCTTGTAAATTCAACAAATCAATTGAGCAGATTCTGTCATTAACCCCATATACACATGTAACGGAGTACAAAACCTGACGAAAACTGATCCTACAAAAAGCACGACTGTTCCATGGCCATACAAGTGTTATCTGATAATTTTGGACCCTTGGCAAAGAGGGAACTCTGGACCCTGTTTGAAATAGATTCCACAGGGGCAGCTAGGTGGTGCAGTGGATAAAGCACCGGTCCTGGATTCAGGAGGACCTGAGTTCAAATATGACCTCAGACACATAACACTTACTGGCTGTGTGACCCTGGGCAAGTCACTTAACCCCATTGACTAGGCCCCCCCCACCAAAAAAAATAATGAAATAGATTCCACTAGTCCAAAATGCTAGCCTACATATTTAGCATGTGTGAAGCCTGTGTTTGCTGTGTTCAAAGGAAAATGCTATCAACTTGTACCTGGAGTAAATGAGAATGAGCTAAATGTTGGAACTAGCATACATTTTGTCAACTTAACTCCAGTAGGACTGAGGAAGAAGATAATCAGCATCCAGGTAGTAACCCATCACTTCATTCAGTGGCACAGGCATATCTAACCAAGAGCCAAGAAGCTTCTACAGCTGCCGAAGTGTTGTGGGAGGTATATTTCTCTGGGTTTAACTTCCTTGCCAGGATCCATTCTGACCAGGGTCAAGATTTTGAGAGCAAGCTACTCAAGAAGTTGTTAGCTTTGGCAGGAATCAAAAAGTCTAGGAATATCCCTTACTATATTCAAAGAAATCTGCAATCAGAACAGTTTAGTCAAAGGCTACTGAACAAGCTGTGTGGTGGGATGGGGAAAGAGGGCCTGAAATCTAACCAAAAGGCTCACTGGAGTTGGTATATGATATTTCTAGTGTAGCCATATAATGTCACCAGCAAGAATGATGTCACAGATTTTTACCCCTTCTTTGCTGATGTTTGGGCTGGTACTATGATTGTCTAATGATTGATGCATGAGCATTTCTTAAGGTAAAAACATAGATCCTGGGAAAATCATTTAACTTTTCAATGCCCCAGGGAACTCTCTAAGACCAAAAGTTGCAGAGACATTGCTGAGCTACCATGGTAAAGGAAGTTTCTCACTGGGGATTCTCTACACTACATGGAGGAAGAAGAGAAGAAGAGGAGGAAGAAAAGGAGAAAAAGAGGAGGAGGAGGAGGAGGAAGAAGAGAAGAAAAAGAAAGAGGAGGAGGAGAAGAAGGAGAAGATGATGATGATGATGATGATGATGATGATGATGATGATGACGGCATGGAGACTCACTGCCAGTATGTCTCTCAGCTGAGAGACAGGCTAAAGAAGGTCTAACCTGACTATGGCCTCAGCCCAGAAAAGCTCAAAATGAAATGATTGACAGCATGATGATGATTCATTGTTAAGAACTCCCTTAGGAGAAAAAATCCTAAGAAATTTTGGCATCCAGGGAAAACACAAGATAGTGCACCAAAGGAGAGCCACTCATACCAGAGTTGAATGACTAGGCCAGGGATGGGGAGCCTGCAGCCTTGATGCTACTTATGGCCCTCTAGGTCCTTGGGTGCAGCCTTTTGACTGAGTCCAAGTTTTACAGAACAAATCCTTTTATTAAGAGGATCTGTTCTGTGAAGTTTGGATTCAGTCAAAGGGCCACACTTGAGGACCTAGAGGGCCACACCTGATTCCCTACCCCTGGACTAGGCAGTCTAGCAGTCTACAAACTGGCCCCAGAGAATCATCAGGATCCTACAAAAACTACAACACAATCACGTGCTGCTCATAGATGAGTTAGTCAGATTCCTTAGTGAACAGAAAGATAAAAGCGATAGAAAGCCAAATACGCATCCCTGACAAAGGCCTGTCTATTAGTTGGAAGTGGAGTATTGGAGCCAGACAATAGCTTCTGTGGAGAGAATTTGGACTAAGATTCTGATAAAGAGGGCAGCTAGGTGGCGCAGTAGATAGATCACAGGCCCTGGAGTCAGGAGGACCTGAGTTCAAATGCGGCCTCAGGCCAAACACTTGACACTTACTAGCTGTGTGACCCTGGGCAAGTCACTTAACCCCAACTGCCAAAAAAAAAAAGATTCTGATAAAGAGAAACTTGTAGATTAGTACCCTATCAAGGGTCACAGAAGCCTTCTAAGATCACTTGATATGAAGATGGACTTCTATTTGGACAATATGGGAGGTATGAATCCAGAGATTTCTACTTTTTTTTTTTTTGCCAGCCAAAGCATTTGTGGATATACTCAAGGAAACAGAGACCATCTATTCATTGGGGGGGCTGGAGGCAGCAATCGCTAGGCTGAACATCCATAAGCTCAGAAATAGAACTTCAGGCCAACAGGCCTAATGATATTGGTATACAAGTTTTGGGCCATCCAGGAGCTCAGGATGGAGACTGCAAACCAGTGATGTAGAACTGATAGCAGGTCACCATAGATGTGTGCTATGGGCAAGGATATGAGCTACAAAGCCAAACTAGTTTAGAAAGTAGAGCAGCAGATGAAGTAAGTGACTTCCTCTCCATTTTTTTTTTATTAATTTATTTTGATTTATCAACAATTACTTCCATATGCTTTTGAGTTTAAAATTTTCCTCCCCCTTCCTCCCCACCACCCTCCCCAAGATGGCACACAATCTGATATAGGCTATATATATATATATATATATATATATATATATACATTCTTGTTAAATATATTTTCAGATCAGTGATGTTGTAAGTAAAAATTAGAAGCAATAGGAGGAACCACCAGAAAGAGGCAATAAAACTCAACAGAAGAGAAAAAAAATAGCAAGTAGTATGCTTCAATCTGCATTCAAATTTCATAGTTCTTTCTTTGGATGTGGATAGCATTTTCTATCCCAAGGCCTTTGGAGATGTCTTAGATCCTTGTATTACTGGGAAGGGTTAAGTTTATCAATATTAGTCATCACACATCATGGCTGTTACTGTGTATAACATTCTCTTGGTTCTGCTCACTTCACTCAGCATCAGATCATACAAGTCTTTCCAGGTTTTTCTGAAGTCAGCCTGTTCATCATTTCTATTCCATTACATTCATATACCACAACTTGCTCAGCCATTCCCCAATTGATGGACATCCTCTCAATCCCCTCCAATTCTTGAGAAAAACCAATGGTAATCGTGACAAATACTTCACCTTGAAAAACAACACTCTCTAGTGGCTGTGCTGAGAAGCCTGCGCTCTTTAGATTGCTGCTGAACTGAGATAGAAAGGAAAGGAAAGAAGTAATTAGAGCCTGCTATACTCACCAATCTAACGTCTTCCCATGAATAAATTGAAATAAACCTCTTCTGCTGTGTTAGAGAGACAGATGGGTTAACTGGGAGCTGACGAGAACACAAGATGACATTTGAGGGTGGTAACCATTCAAATTCTTTGCTAAATAATTCAATTTCTTATTTATGTTGAATTTTGCTTGAATTCTTTTCCTTTGAATTCATGTGTTATCTGCTTGGTCTGTTGCAGAAGTATTTTGACAGAAGTTTGGAGCTGTGGATTTGGATAGATGACTACCTCAAAAGTTCTATGAACCTGGCTGTAACTAAAAATAGGCCACATGGAGGAATGGCCCAGAATATATAATCAAAATAATGTATCTTTTGTGACCTTCTCTAGCCCTTGTTTGGCTCCCCTAATCTTAGATCTGAAAGATGTCTACTTAATTTCACTCTTGATTCTTTTATGATGTGAGCTTTTTATATTTAGGCTGCATAATCAATTTATTATTAGTATGTGGTATAAAATGATTGTCTAATCATATTTTCTGCCAAGCTGCTTTCCAGTTTTCCATGTAGCCCTTGTGTGTTCACTTTCTTCTGGGTCTTGCTTAGACAGTCTGTTCCACTGATCCACTTTTCTCTTGTTGAACCAATGAGATATTGATTTGATGACAACTGCTTCACAATACAGCTTGACATCAGATAATGCTGAGCCTCCTTTTGTATCTCCCCTCCCCCCAGTTCTTCCTCCTTGGGACGCTGAACCGGTTAGAATGTGGCTTTATGTTGCAGCAGCATGGCTAGCGCTAAAAATGAAATTTCTGAGGGCTGTGAGACACTAGAAAAGGGAGAGAGTTTGTATATCCCAAAGACACCCCCGTTTTCTTCACCTGGAGAAGGGGAGGTCAGACCGAGAGCAGTGAGTTGGGAGGTATGACCTTTGGGGCTGCGTAGTGAGAGCATGGAAGGGCACCAGCTTCTCTCGCAAGTGGAGGGCACCACCCAGCGGTCAGAACTCTGAGCCGCAGGCTGTCGGTTAGGCCGAACCTCGGACACCTCAGCCTCTCGTGGGGTACACCGGGAATTGTAGTTTTACGGCGCCCGGGAAGAGGTGCTGCCGAAAGATCCTACGGGAATTGTAGTTCGCAGCCCCCGGAAGAGGGTCGGGAAGAGAGGGCGGTTTCCTTTTCTCTTCAAAGCAGGACCACGACTCCCGTGGTGCCATGCAGCGGGCTGCGCCTGCGCAGTGGGTCGGGGGGTCTGTCAGTCTCTGAGGCCCAGGCTGTGCTGCCGCTGGTGGGCCGGAGCGGGGCTGGGGAGTTCGGGGGGATAGGGGGTAGGGGCACCGGGGAATAAGTGAGCGGGCCTGAGGCGGGGGCGGCTGGCGCCATGTCGAGGCAAGCGAACCGAGGCACTGAGAGCAAGAAAATGGTAACTGGGAGCGGGGCTTGGGACCAGTGCCGGGAGGGGGTGGGGGGCTAGAGGGGGAACTGGGGGGGGGACTAAAAGCAGGAGGGGAAAGGAGAGGGACGGACGAGAGGGGTGCTGAGGGGGAGGGGAGTGGGCGGAGGACCGGGGTGTCGGGGGTGGGGGAATAGGATGCTGAAGGTAAAGGGGCTCTGGAGGTAGGAGTTCGGAGGGGGAGGGGCATGAAAGGAGGGGGGGAGAGGGGCTGAGGGGTAGAAGCGGGGAGGGAGGGGAAGTGATGCTAACACCTGTATGTTATCTCCCCTCCCTAAAACCAAAGCTCGAGGATAGGGGAGCATTGTGCTTGGAACCGTAAAGGCTTGTTGATTGACTGGAGCACTGAGGTGGGGGTGCTGACAAGAGGGTGGCTTTGGAATCAGGTGTAAGGAGGGGTGAAGGGGGGGCAAGAGAGCTGGGACATTGAGGAGGGTGGGGACGCTAAGGGGGAGGGGTGAAGAAACTGGATTGGGGGCTGAGGAAGGGGAGATGAGGGCCAGCTAGGGGAGGGTCATTGAGATGTACACTGTAGGAGAGAGTACTTAACTGGGACTGCCAGCTGGGTCAGGGGCTTCCCAGGAAAGAGTTCAAAGCTCAGGGTGGGAGGATCCTGTTGGTTAAGGGAATGGGAAAGCGGTGGGGGTGGGGGGCCTTCTGAAGGTATGCCCTTGGCAAGGCAAGCAAGGAATGTAGACATTAGGGAAGATTCTGCTTCCAAGATTGGGACTTGGGGGTGCTTGTAATGAGAACTGGGAGGAGAAGGAGGGTAGGCCTATGTGGAGACTCAGGGTAAGGTCTGAAATGGGAACAACAGGGTTAGATGGCTGTCCCTACCTGACATGAGGGAAGATGTGTATGGAGACTGAAGGGTAGGCTTACAGAGGGAGAGAACTTTAGAAGAAAGTCTATTATGGGGCTGGCTGAGGGAGGCTAAAGGGGAACTGATATGACACAGGCTAAGGGCAGGTCTGTAATTGGAGCTTTGTTATTGTTCAGTCGTGTCCAACTTGTCATGACCCCAATTGAAGTTTTCCTGGTAAAGATAATAGAGTGGTTTGCCATTTCCTTCTCTAGCTCATTTGACAAATGAGGAAACTGAGGCAAAAAGGGTTAAGCAACTTGCCCAGTGTCACATAACCAATAAGTATCTGAGGCCAGATTTGAACTCAGGTCCTCCTGACTGTAGGCCTGGTACTCCACCTGCTGTACCATCTAGCTGCCCCATAATTGGAGCTCCGGTGCAGATCAGAGACTACAAGGAGGGTCTCTAATGTGGCTGGGGGAGGGGGTTTCTTTTATGAGTTTGAGAACAGGGGTTTTGAAGGAGCTGATATGTATGGAAAGGCAAGGGTCTTTATGAGGACCAGAACCGTATGTCAGGGCCAAGGGGCCTTCCATGTCATTCTTTATTTTCTTGTGGCATATACACTTCTTCCTTTCACTTCTACCCCAGCACTGGTCACACTCCTTGCTTTTATTTTCCTTGTATGTAAAACCAAGTGCCTTGCAGTCAGGGATCTCCATGCCATGACAGGATTGTTTCACTCAGCTCACTGGGGAGATAGTATACCATTACCCAACACCTATATTTTACATCATGAGTAGAAAGAGACCCAGGACCTAAGAGGTCAGAAATCCTTATCATGGCAACATCTTCCTTTAAAACTTACTCAAGTCACCTCTCCTGGCTTCAGATTCCTCATTTGTATAATAAAAGCGGGGTTGGACAAGATGGTGTCTTCCAGCTCTACATGTATGTTCGCACTATCTTCCTTAAGAAAAAAAAATGAACTCTTGTCAATGTCAACCTCAAAAGTCTTGTGGCCTGATTTTATTGGGAAAAAAACACCAAGATTTCTTTTGGAATTCAGTGGCAAGGAGTGGGAATATAAATGAGCAGTTGGCTTTCTTTTCCTGGAGACAGGAACATTTTAGAGGTGACAGCTACGGGAGAGAGCGAGTTCGTCTAAGTCCGGTTCTCCACTGATCAGCGCTGGATTGTTTGCTGCTGCCTGGTTTTCAGTCACTTCCCCTTCCATCCTTCATTGCTTGGGAAAAATAATTCATACCTACAAGCACTTGCTATATAGAGTCAGCTGTCTAAATATTAGTGTGGGCTTAGATATTTAGATTGATGAGATCTTTGGTATTATGTCAGCAAAAGCCCTTACTGCTTTTTAATGGTACTTATTTCAATTTTTATCAGTTCTTTTGTAGAACTGGGAAGCTAAGTTATCCTCTTAAAGGGGGTTCTTTTTTTTATTCTATGCATTTGAAAGACAAAAGCAATTCACTTGCTATTTCTGTCTAGGACTACTCCCTAGTCCTTACTGAAAAACCAGCCAGTGACCTTAATCACGGCCATCTCCATTCTTTACTGTTAGTAACCTGAGTTTATAATTTCCATTCCTTAGAGATCAGAGGTGTTGGCCTTTGAAAAATAGCTGGGTGAACAAGAGAGTGGGATACCTGGAAAGAGAACCTCTTTATTTACCAACTTTCCCTGCAAACAGGGAATCTGTAATCATCTGTAAAATGGGGATAATAATATTTGACTTATCTCACAGATTGGCTATGAGAATTGAATGCCGGCCAGTGCCGGATTGATTTGTTCTTACATTAGAATGATGGTTCCATTGCTGACTCCAGAGGGCAATTAATCATTCATATCAAGCTCTTTAAGTTTAGGGGTAGAAACCCAGTTTTAGTTGGGAGAAGTTAACTGACAAACAGTAGATTTTCAATGCTCCTTCTGAGAGCCTAATTTATGCTGCCCAAAAGCCCTCAGAAAGTAGCATATTTACATTTTACAGTGTGAAAAGTTGGGTTCTTAAGTGAACACCTAGAAATGAGGGTGGGGAATAGAGTCAAAAGTTAGGGGCCTCCATCTTTGATTTGGGAGAATCTGACTCTATGATATTGGACAAGATTTTGTTATCTCTTGGTACCTGTTCTTGGCAGGGAATTGGGGGCAGCAGCACGAATAAAATGCTTGTTGCCCTCATGTGAAAAGTGTAAATGGTTATGATTTGCAGATTACTTGGCATCACTGTGGACTGGGGCTTCTGATATTAAGGGTAAATATCCTGACTTCGGGTTGTTAATAATGGATAGAAAGCTCTCATGACTTAATGCAGTGAGGCCAGATCTCTAGACTGGTAATTGTTGGATGTACTCCATCCATTCATGCCCAAGGCTTGCAAATGCCAGGTCTTTGATTTTACTAAAAAAAAAAAATTCCTTCCTTAATACCTGTCCTTACTTGTCATGTTTGGTAAATTGTCTCCTGGAGATGCCCTGGTTAGAATTTTTCAATTGAGTTAAAGGAACTTTTTGATTCTTAGCATGACTGTCTCAGGCTTTCACAGCTGGTTTTAATGTTTTGGGTGTATTATTATTGTTATTTTTATACTATAAAGAGATTGTGATTAGTAACAATAAAGTTGTAGGAGACAGCCTAGTGAAATAGATCACTGGACCCAGGAATTCTGGGATCTAGGTTATAATCCTGACTTTACTACTAAAAAGCTCTATAAGCTTGAGCAGGTTACATCCCTTTTCTAGGCCTTAGTTTCCTCATTTCTAAACTTTGATACTTTGGACTTGTGATTTCATTATTATAGATGTTTCCTCCACTAATGCAGATCCTAATTCTTTCATGCCTTCTCATCCCATACAATTATTCTTTGTATTTCCTCATAAATTATACCTAGAAGATCTACTCAATGGGCTGAATGCTTTCCTCTTGTTCTTTTAATATCTTGGAAGCACCAGTATACCACATGGACTGTCTCTCTGTGCTTTGTTCTTGCTCCATGACCTGCTTACTTTCTTTTTAATTCCCATATGGGTCCTCAGCAATGCCTTTCATGGCACTTCTTACATACAACTCCCCAGTGATAACATTTTTGCAGCCTACTTGCACCCATCTTGCATCTTTCCATTGCCTTTTAGTTATTTGTAATTTTGATTCTGCCAAGACCATAGTATTCCTTGATTCACAAGCATATAACATCACTGGGAGAATATTGTTGTTAAAGAAACAGGCTTTTTGTAAGAATGAGCAAGTAGTTTGCATTTTCCCCAGTGAGATCTACAATATCTCTTCCTGTTCACCTATGAGTTCAGCGCCTGTCCAAGATATACGTATTTAGACTAATTTTATAGACTGACAGCCAGCTGCATGTCATAATGTGAGAAATAGTATTAATCCACTTTTGTTTTCCCAGTATGCATGGTTAGACCAGCCTCTTTCATTTTGTTGTGTATTTTGCTGAAACATCATATTGGAGGACTTTCATGGAGGTCACCTGTAAAGTTGGGGTACCTACTTAACTGGTCTCATAGGAGTATTATGAGAATCAACTGGTATAACAGTAGAAAGCTTTCTGGGAAAAAGAAAGTATCACCATTATTACTGGGAAAGGAGTGGCGCTGACATGTAGTGAAGTGAGAGACAAGGGATAGCTGCTGTGGTGCATTACTTCCACTGAGATACTAACAGTCTCAGAGGAAAGCCCCCTAGATAAACCTTTGGAGACTGAGCAGACATGGACCTGAATAACATAAAATGAGACTGTATGGAGGGCATGTATCAGTGAAGGGGGTTCCCACACCTGTGAAATCAGTGGTTCTTCAAAGTAATAGTTGTTATTTAGTTAGCAATTTAAATATTGAAAAGTGTTTTATATACACTCTGTTGATCTGCCTAACAGCCCTGTGAGATTCTACCAATATGATTAAAACTATTTTATAGAGGAGGAAATTATGGTCTGAAGAAATTGTTCCTTGTCTATGGTAACACAGCTAGTGTCAGGAACAAGATTCAAACCCAGGTCTTCTTTGCTCCTAATTCAAGCCCAGCACCATATTGTGGACGTATATAAAGTATTAAACACAGTCAACCCACAGTGTATCTCTTATTCTAAAGTGTAACTTTATTAATGGGAGATGGGACAAAGCAACTGAAGTGCTCATTTTAGCCTAAGACCTTCAGCTTCGTCCTCAGTGTCTCAGTCCCAAAGAGCCTTAACCTCAGTATGACAGTTCTTTAGATGCCTTAATTTACTTCACTCACCTACTCATCCTATTTAGATGGGAGCATATTGGGTTGGCCTCTGTTTTCGGCCCTGTTTCTTTGTGACCTAATTGTACAAATTGTGGTCTTGCCCATATGTGTCTGTCTTTCTTATTTAATGCTGATATTGTCTTTTTTCCCTTCTTTCCACCTGCCTGCTGCTTTCATTCTGTAGTATTGGTATTTGCCATTCCCTTTACCTTCAGCATCTCTGCGTCTCATGGTAGGTGATAGGTTTCTTCATCTATCTGAGAAAAGAGTTGCTGTGATTGTCTGACAGCTGTTGTTGAAAGGCATTCAGGGCAACATTTTGAGCTGGATCAAAAATGTTTTCAGATGTTGCAGCCCTCCCCTCCATTGCTTCCCCATCCTGTTTCCTAACTGCACAGCGTACAGCATCACAACACCCAGCAAACCCAGTGCATGACAGTCATTTCCACCTAGGAAACATTGGAGCTGTATGTAGAGAGGGAACCTTGTTTTTCCTGATACTGTTTTTCAGGGTGAAGGCTATAATCTGTTGTTATAGAGGGTGCAGGTAGCCCTGGCCTGGTTTCCTTCCCTCCTGACTAGCAGTGCCTTTTCTGTCCAAGGGCTGGGAGCTATTATAAAGAGACTGCAGAGGCCACAGTCTAGTTATTTGGACCGGCATTCCCTGGGGACTCTGAAGAAACCATTCAAATTACATGCTGATGAGCAGAGGATAACTGGTAAATGTTGAACGTTCAGCTATCTTCCAATGATGACTTGAATTCACAGTCCAGGTACACCAGGGGGAGCCATGGTTCATCTCCTGAGCTAGGGTCTCATAGTCTAGGTCTGAGCTGTGGGCTCTGTACCAGGGGATGGCAGCCTCTGCTATGTGGAATCTTGCCTTGGCCAGTAGTTAGCATGAGTTGTTGGCACTTGACTGCTAGACAGGAGCTCATGGGCAAAGCACCCTCCTCGACCCTTTCCCTAAATGAGCCCAGCACCAATTCTGTTGGGTTAGTCCTGGGCAGGGTGCTGGGTGTCCAGGCTCACTGCAGCTTTGCTGGAATTGACTTTTTCTCCCAGCAGACAGGTGACTTTCTTCTGAAGCCTGAAAGTAGCACCAGTGTCTTTTACCCCATTTACACGATCCTTCCTTTTTCTTGTGTTTGGTACTGACTGCCTTTTGAATCTCATTTAGAGTTCTGAGCTTTTTACCCTGACCTATGGAGCTCTGGTCACCCAGCTTTGCAAGGACTATGAAAACGATGAAGATGTGAACAAACAACTGGACAAAATGTGAGTGACTCGTGCCTGAGGCAAGAACTTTTATTCCTTGGGAAGGTGGGGTGTGGGGAGGGGGGGCACCCTGTGTTCTGGGCCCTCATTGTCCTTCTGCAACTTGGCAAAGGCTTCCTTCGAAGCTGTTCTCGTTCAATACCCGCTGTTTGGTCACACTTTCACTAGATTTACTGTGGAGCTTTGGAATCCTTTGCTTTCACCCCTAAGCTGTAACAACCTCATATTCTTGCGGTCACCCTGTGATTTGTTGTTGTCTGATCACCTTTCCAGGGGCTACAATATTGGTGTCCGATTGATTGAAGATTTCCTGGCTCGGTCAAACGTTGGCAGATGCCATGACTTTCGGGAAACAGCAGATGTTATTGCCAAGGTCATCTCCCAAGGGCCCCCAGGCATCCCCTCCTTCATTCTTTCAGAAGGGACTCTGGTTATACTGGAAAGCTAATTAATAGCCATTATAGTTGCAGAACACTTTGTGTCTCGCTTCCAAAACCTCTCAGAGCTGGCTAAGACGTGGCTGAATTGGGAGGGAAGGGAGTGGGCATAGGAGACACCCCTGTGAATTCTCAAATCCACTTAAATCAAAATCAGCTTTTCCTCAGTGTGGCAAAAATGTGAAATGTTCTGTTGGCAATCCTTTTGAGGTCAGTTATGGAAGGGGGTTCTTTCTGTTCTAGCATGGAAACCATTCCTCCTTATCACATACTTCTGTCAGGCTCAAATGGTTGTGAGAGAGCCATCCTGCTTGCAGCGTAGAACCAACATTATATGTCCACTTAACTGATGAGGAGGTGGGGAAGCGACCTCCTATACAGAGAAAATGATGTGTCAGAGAAACACTCTGTGCTAGGAAGAAATGCACAGCATGACCTAAGGTCCCCTTTGTCAGGAGAGGGGGCAGAGGTGGAGAAGCTGCCCCTTGGGCCTTAGGTAGCTATGACTGTTTTCTCTGAATGTTCTTCGTGCGTTTCAGGTGCTTACAATGCTAGCCAACAGTGAGTGGTGCTTTCCCCTGGGGGCTTCAGCCTACAGTGTTCTACCCCAGAGGACATAGACTTGGATGGGCAGAAATGCTCTTCCATTAATTATGTCTGGAGGGCAAACCGTCAGCCCCAAACATCATTCCCCTGCCTCTCATTCCCTGGTATTGCCCGTGTAGTCAACTTACTAGGAAGGTGCTGTGGGAAGGGGGAGAAAGGAGGCTCCCTGCCCCACCTTTACCCCTGCTACTCCGTGTCCCTCTAACAGGTAGCTTTTAAAATGTACCTGGGCATCACCCCGGGCATCACCAACTGGAGCCCCGCCGGCGACGAATTTTCCTTGATCTTGGAAAGCAACCCTCTGGTGGACTTCGTGGAGCTTCCTGATAACCACTCCTCCCTCATTTATTCCAACCTCTTGTGTGGGGTATTGAGGGGAGCCCTGGAGATGGTGAGCACGACTCTTTCCTTCTAGGAATGGGGCTGCGGTAGGCTGACCCGCCCAGGAGTTTTCTGCTCAGTGTGGGGCCTCCTTCCTCGACTGTACGTGAGGTCAGACAGCTTCCCCTAAGCCTTGCCAGGGTCCCTGCCCTAGCTCTGGTTGACTTGATGAGGTGTTTCTCATTATGCATATGAGGGGAGGGGGGCCCTTGCTTTCCTGGGTCTCTCTATCTATAAATAAATGATTTGGGGCAAGAAGGGAATGGGGAGGGAAATAAAGAGGAAAGGGCATAAGCATTTCTGTGGTGCCCACTATGTGCTTTTTACAAATATTATCTTACCTGATTCTCACAACGACCCTTTGAGGTAGATTTTATTATTACCCCACTTATGGTGGAGAAGACTGAGGCAGACAGAGGTGAAGTGACTTGCCCAGGATTACATAGCTAGTGAGTGACTGAGGCTGGATTTGAACTCAGGCCTTCCTGACTCCAGGCCCGGCTCTCTGTTCTCTGCACCACCAGCTGCCTTGGACAGGCCGTAAAAAGCTGTGCTCAGGCCCCAACTGGATGCAAGTCACTACCTAGAGCTGTTAGTGGTGACCCTTCATGGAGGCCACTAGAGCTAAAGAGAGTCATCACTGTCATTGAATAATTGGTAACATTTTCTTAAAGCCCTTTAAGAGTTAACAAAGTGTACTACATAAACTCTTTGGGGGAGATTAGGAGCAGTCTTGAGTCTTTAAGGGAGGGAGAAGATGGCTAAGGAAGGGTTAGTCTGAGAAAAGTGGCCTGGCTTCCTAGTAATAAATGAGAGGTCAAAGGATAGAAACACAGTTCTCAAAAATAGAATTGCAGACCTTCAAGAACTGTATGAATCACTAATAATCCAAAATACAAATTCAAACAATTCTAAAGTTTCACTTCACACCCAGCAAATTGGCAAAGATGCCATAAGGTGGAAATAGTCGGTGTTGGAGTGACCACAGGAAGACAGGCACACCAACGTGAAATTGGTGAAACTGCACATTGGTCTAAATGTTCTGGAAGCAATTTGGAATCATGCAAGGGAAGTCATCCCCCTCTTCATCCCCTTGACCCTGAGATCGCCACTGCCGGGCATGTGCCTTAAGGACAGGAACATCAGATGAGGCCCATAGAAATCAAAGCATTCCTGAGCAGCCCCTTTTACGGTTGCAGACAACTGTAAAGAAAGTGAGTGAGTACTCGTGACCTGGGAGATGACTGAACAAATTGTAGCATCTGAATATAGAGGAATATTATTGCACCACAAGTTAGGATTAATAGGAGGTGTTTAAAGAAACACGGGGAGACTTGTACGGACTGATGGGAAGGACACTGAGCAGGACGAAGGAAAACAGTTTGATGAGATGACTGTTAGTGTAAGTGAGAAGAGCGTTAAATGAGATGGGAAAGCTCTGTTTCTGTAATAGCCAGCCCTGGTCTCTCCACCACAGGAGACCCTCCTCCCTCCTTCCCTCGGAGAGGTGAAGGGCTCATCGAGGCTCTGATCGCTTCGGTGGCTGGGGTAGCTGCTGTAGCTAGACAATGTTTTTGGTTACAAGGGGCATCTCCCTGGGAGGGGTGGGACTGAAGAGGGTGCATATCCAGAATTTACTGATTAAAAAGAAGAAATACCAACAAAACTTAACATTTTAAAAATGCTCCAGTTATGACGAGGGCCATTGGTAAGTAGAGATGGACTGGCCTGTTAGAATTCCATTCTGTGAAGCGGTAAGCAGGCAGCTGACTCTGCCCACAGCCCCGTTCTTCCTCTCTGCCCAGGTCCAGATGGCTGTGGATGTGAAGTTTGTTCAGGACACGCTGAAAGGAGATGGGGTGACAGAAATCAGGATGCGGTTCATCAAGCGGATTGAGGACAATCTCCCAGCGGGAGAAGAATAACCGTTCCGAGGGCAGTGGAGATGACCAGCTAGGGCACTTGCTCATTCTCAACCCTTCCCTGGGGTTGTAAAGTCAAAGTGCCCCCACCTTAGAGAACTCAGTGACTCTTTAAGATGTTATATATTCTTCTAATCTCGTTTCCATTTTCCATGCTAATAAAAAACAGACTTGTGTGATATAGTCCACTTATCCCACAGGTGTGTGCTACTGATCTCACTCTGCACAGTGGGTATTGTCTCATGCTCCAGGGAGAAAGTCCTTCTCTCTCCTCTTCCCCTGACTGGTAGGATGGAAACTGCTTCACTTCTTGGATTAGAAGGAGCTCCAGCTAACTTTACATTCCTGATTGAATTTTCCAAAGCAAAACCTTCTTTGACCTGATTGATTGGGAGAAAAGCCTGGAGTGTCTGTCCGTTCCTATAACTTCTGTGCCCTCATGAGAGTCATCAGCAAACTGGGTGGGCGGGCACCTGGAAAGGGAGGAGGCTCTCAATCCTTGGTGACGAGCAGTAATGTTGGCCAGGAGAGACAGAGCCAGCAGTGCAGGAAACGATGACTTCTGGGAGCACACCCAGGTATTTGTCTTCTGTTCCACTCGGCTGTTTGGAGGCAATGAGCCCTCTTTTCACAGAGGGTCCATCTTTTTATATCTACACATATACACACTCTTCAATAAAGACACATTCGTAAGTGAAATCCCAGACACGTCCATTTCCTAATGTACTCTGCTCAGCTCCACCCAACTAGCCTGTGGATTCTGTTGCTGGGGCGAAGGGGCCAGTCTGACACACTTAGCAGGCAAGGGCCAGTACTGGTCTCCAGAGCCTGACCTTGCCTTTGGTGCTCTCTCTTTCCTCAAGAGAGCAGAGAGTTCTGGGGACCCTGGCAGCCAACCATAAAATATTCAGTAATGTGTGTTCCAGGCTCGAGGGGGCCTCTGGTGTCTGAAAAATCCACAGGGGAACCCAAGTTCTTGGGATTTTTGAAGTGATAATTCATATTTCTGTAGCACCATAATCCTGTAAGGTTGATTGTGTACGTATTATTTATCCATGTTTTATAGATGAGGAAACGGGTTCAGAGAAAAAATGGCTTGCCCACAGACAAACAACTAGTAACAGCTGTTCAAATCCTAGTCTCAACTCCAAGCCAGATTTCCTAAATGCTGATAGGAGAGCCAGTGAAAATACTGGGATAGAAAGCTGCAGGCTCCCCGCCTCGCCCTCCCCCCATCCCTGCCATATTGGTGGGTTTGAGATGCTATTTTCATTTGATTCTGGGAATGGTCAGCCGTGGAAGACAGAATAGCCCTGGAGGGCTGCGAGTGGTGAATTTGGGGAGAGGTTGATATTGCTTATCCCCTCCTCCAGTGCCTTACAAAGTACCGAGTAAGTTCTGTGGGGAAAGAAGGGGGCAAGAATGTGTGAAATGTCCACTGTTTGTCAGTTGTGGTGGCAATAAAGAGCTTGTGACATGAAGCCCAGGGCCGTGAATCAAAATTCAATCCCACATTTGGGGTTAGAGGCAAGTAGGATCCCACTTCTCTTTGAGGCTCAAGTCTCTCCTGACTCGAAGGCAGCAGAGTGGCGTCACTTCATCCGAGAACGCCTCCTGTTGCTGTTCAGTTCGAGAGTTGCATTGCCCAGCTCGTCCACCCCTTGGAAAGAAAAAGAAGCAGGCTGGGTGGAGTAAGCAGCAGAAGTGGGCCGGGCTGGGTGGAGGAAGGTAGCTCATCTTTCTCACACTTACGCTGCTGTTAGCTACTCCCCTGGAACCAGTGAGACCCCCCTGGAGGGGAGAGTGAGCAGGGTGACCACTCCTCCCAAAGGCTCCTCTTATCTGCATGGAGCAGGTAGCTCTGGCTTCCTGTGCCACAGGAGGGTGACGGCAGGTTGGCACCCACTCATGCTGAGTATTTCCCAATATTCTGGGTCATATCAGTCCACAGCGAATGTTCAGGGAAAGGAACATAGGTCTGCCTGTCTGCTGTATGCGGGAAGGCCTGGGGGCCTCTGAAAGCCCTTGTGGCCAGACATCTCAAAGTAACAAAGGTGTTGGGTTTGTTGTTGTTTTAATAACTTCTGTCCCAGTTTTCTTCTGCAAAGACATGGAAATGGATAGTGCCAGAGAGCTGGCCTCTGAAGACCTCTCCCTCCAATTGTACAGCAAAAATCTAAATTTCCTTTCTGTCTCTCAGAGGCTAGAGATGTTCATTACTGCAGGCAGAAGTCAATTGTTGAAGGAAGCCACAGACAACTATTGGGGGAAGGGGATGTTGGGGAGTAGGACAGGTAAGGGGTGACAACTTTGATGATTTAGTAATCATAGAGACATTGGACTTTGGACCTAGAAGGGACTTGGAGATCAATTTCCTCATTTCATAGATGAGGAAACTGAGGCCGGAGAGGGAAGGGATTGGCCCACGGTCCCACAGGTTGAACAGATCTAGATTCAGAATCCAGGTCCTCTGATTCCCAGTCTTGTGGTTTCTGGAAATAAGCCGTAGCAGACATCAGCCTTGCCTCTCCCCCCTTCCCGCTCCACACACATTCAAATAACAGGGACCTCTCCCTTCTGCTCCCCCAACACCAACCCACTTTCCAAGTGGGCTGTTTATACAATGTCAGATCTGGGGATATTTCCTTTCCCCCTCAGCCAGGCAGCTTTATGGCTGGTGGAGTCATGGAAACAAAGCTTCATTTATAAGGTTCCCCCCCAGTCACTGGTAACCGGGCCTTCTGCACCTAGGGCTAGCGTCCCCTAACCAATCCACTCACAGGCAAAGAGTAAAAACCCATGGGAGTTGGCTTCCTGGTGCCCACAGAGTAATACAGGCGGGGGCTGCAGTAGGGGCCCCCATATGGAGAGTGGGAGGGAAGTGGATCAGCCTCCCCAGGGCCCCTGTTTTATAGCCTCTAACCCTCCCCACATGGCACAGAGCTTCAAAACTCTGCCAACATGTCCTGCCACAGCTGGGGCCCTGGTTGGGGTTGGGGCAGTTTCTTTACTCTTTAGAAATTTTCTCTACTTTTCCAATGCTTCCCCCACTAATTTCTTTGGGACTTGACCTAATTTCCCTTGGATCATTTGTGGGCAATGTGAGTAGAGGCAGTATGTCCCAGTGGATAGAGAGCTCTTCTCAGTCAGGTAAATGCACATTCAAGTCCCCCATCTGACGCACACTAGCAGAAAGACCCTGGGCACTTGGCCTTTCTGTCCCTCCAAGAACTCTAGGGCTTGATGCAGAACAGTTGCTAATATGCATGGATAGAGGGAGTTTCCTCACTAGAAGTATCTGACACCAATAAATCACAGGTACAAACAGTTCCCCCCTCTCCCCATCCTCCAAATAGAGGCAGGCTGGTAGAATTCCTCAGCTCCTGAGGTGCCAGGGAAGTCTGCAGGAAACTAGAACTGCTGGCCCTTTGATTAGGGGTGGGAGGAGGTAGAATAGCAGTAAGCTGACCACCCCGCCCCCCCAGCCCCACCTGGCCAGCCTGCTAGAGCCTTCATCCACCAGGTATCCTAGCTCACTGGCTGCCATCGAGCCACTGGAAACCGGGTGGGCTAATAGCCAGGATCTCTGCATACTTGGCTGCTCTGGTCTGGACTTAGAAATGAGGCGGGTGAGAAAAATTCACCAAGCCAAGCGAAGTCAGGCCCAGGCTGGGGCTGACTCCCTCCTCGGTTTGGCTGGAGCTAAGCTGGTAGCTCTGGGCAGCCCAGGAGCAGAGTCCTGGTGCCTGAGGTCTCCTAAAGTAGTGGAACAAACAGAGTCCTGGACTTGGAAGAGGCCAGGAAGAGCTGGCCTTAAACCTACCTCGTTTACTGGCTGTGTGACCTTCGGCAAGTCCCTTAACCGATCTGAGTACATGAGTTTCCTTATCAGTAAAAGGAGAAGGTAGGACTCAGTGATCTCTAAAGCCCCTCCCAGCTCTAAATATATTCCCTACCCCCACCCCCCAGGAAAGGCTGCCTCCAACAGAGAAGCCTTACCTTCTTCAAGCCTCCCTCCATGTTTGGAGACCATCCATCCACACACATTGCTATCTGCCTTATGGTGCCCTAAACCCACCTTCAGAATAGCCCAGTGCTGGGTCCCTCCTAGCTCAGCCTTCTGACCAGAGCAAACCCATGTCCAGGCTGGTTCTGAGAAACAGCAGGGACAGTGAGACCCTGGAGCCTAGCAAGCAGGAATGTCCGAAAGGGTGAATAGTCATCTTACAAGTTAGTTCCACATTTGTAGAGGTGTCCAGTCAGAGGCTGGGAGAACACCCATCAGGATGTCACAGAGGGTTCCCTTTTGTGGTGCTGTAGGGTATAGATTATAGCCATTCTCTGTGGCCCCTTCCAGCAGGAGAATCTGGAGTTTCTGTGACTCTGCTGTGGTCATCCTTCTCCTCCAGAGGAAGCGGCCTGCCTAAGAGGGCCTCACCAGGCCCCTGGTCATTGAGCCTGAGGTTAGACTTCCTAACACAGGTCAGCTGGTTTCAGGGAGGGTGAAAAAATGAAGTGTGAAAAACCCAGGGTGTAAGACAGCAAGAAATCAAACGGGAGGGACCCTGATTATTGGCAGCACCAGGGTAATAAGACTAGAGGATAGAGCAAAGGGACCCCAAGACTTGGAGTCAAGAAAACCTGAGTTCAAATCCTGCCTCAGACACTTAATAACTCTGACGTTGGGCAAGTTATTTAATGGACGTGTGTCTCAGTTTCCCCATCTGTAAAATGTGGATAATAATAGCAGCTACCTCACGGGGATGTTGTGAGGATCAAACAATTGACCTATGTAAAGTGTTCTGCAAACAAACCTCCGAGAGTGATATAAATACCAGCTATTACAATCATGATCATTATTATTACTGTCAGAACTTCCCACCAGCATGAGCTTTAATATTTCCTTTCCCAGGGCTATATGAGAACAAGATGGACCACCTCTGGCCAGAGCAAAGATTTCTAGAGGGGTCTGGCTATGAATCTCATCATAGGGATGTTGGGGAAAGATTGGGGAAAGAGACTTGAAACTGGTGAGGCA